GTTTATAACACTCTTTCATTCATCACAACTTTGTACGCGATAATGTTATATGCATATTTTAACACGCGTAGTAGACACACCCTATTATAGTAAAATATCCCAAGGGTTGAAACGCGCCACGACTGTGGCATAAAATCACGCATTCGAACCTTTCAAAGTTCGTTTTCTTTACATATATGGCATCTGTAATGACATGGATGGCATTAGAAAGTGACACAATTGCATTTGCACTTGAATATTTGTCAAATTAAAACTCATTGCGATAGAGCAACATGGCAGGAGCACAACTGTAAAGCCGGAAACCGGATGTTGCAAACTTTTACCTCTATCGCAAAGAATGACTCATATTGTTGTGTCACATGATCAGAAGTAAACGATTTTCCCATGAATTGTGCTGCTGCTATTTTGATTATTTTCATTAGAAACACCTCGAAGAGCAACGGGAACGACATTTGAAGTAGAAACCATTTTACAGAAGAGTCACTGATTCATTGAAGTTGTGTCGCGTCAGAGATTACACTTTTAAATTTTGCGCGCAGCATTTCTTGTTTATTAATGCATCTCATGAATAAATTAAATGCCCACCGGCTTTACGGTTGTGCTCATGCCACAGTCCTGGCGCATTTCAACCCTTGAGATATTTTACTATAATAGGGTGTGTCTACATCGCGCGTTAAAATTTGCATATAACAGTAGCGCATAACAAAGTTGTGATAAAGGAAAGAGTGGTATAATCAATGGGGGTAAAAGACCAGGGGGGGGGGTGGTAAAAGAAAAGTTATATAACATTTTATTATTTAATAATTTATTAAAATACATAAGTTTGTCCAACTCCCTGTGGTATGTACCAAGTTTGAACAAAATCCATCCATAAATGCTTAATATTTGATGATTTGTTAGCACAAAAATGCCCACCATTCGACCATTTTTAATAGGATCGTCAAACCAATATATCTGTATATCTATGACATGATGTATAATGAATATTTATAATTTGAACATAATCAGTCACAGCAAGTCAGAGATACGGCATAATAACCACAGTCGGCCATTTTGAATCTTATCTAAAAACAAAATGATGTGTATCAAGGTCCTATAATGTCCAACATATATACCAAGTTTGAACAAAATCCATCTGTAAACAGCCGAGAAATGCTTGATTTTGAAGATTTTTAGAACAAAAATGAACACCATTCGGCCATCTTGAATCAAATCGTGAAACAAATTGATGTGCATATGTATAATATCATGTATGATGTATGTGTGAAGTTTGATTGTGATTGATCCAGGCATTTCTAAGATACAGGTCCGGATGCACGCACGGACGCACAGAGGTCAAAACATAAGTCCCCGTTTTTGGACTACATTCGAACAGGGACTAACAAAACTCTAATGGGGGAGAGGGGCTATCATCTGCCAAGTTAACTGATTTGATGGGACAGCAAGATGATAATTATTTTATGTCTATGACTTTATAGTGCAAGACTCATAAAAATCAATTCATAAATGATGTTCATTTTATCTCATATATGCAAATCTTCATAAATCTTTGGAAAGCGTAGATTACCTCTAAAAATTAATTACAGAAACAGATTTTGTACCTCAGCGTCCAGCCTGTTTCTCCGTTTCGATGCCGAAAACATACAAGATGTTACATTTTCAAAGTCGCAGTGAATCAATGTACAATTACTGTAGCTGTTTGGGTACTTAGAATAAAACACCTTGAAATCAAAGTCTTTTCATTGTTAGAGTTAAAATATCAACCCACTCACACATTTATCTCATCAACAATAACTGATAAAAAGTTGCATTACAATTTTGATGTAAGCGCAGCAGAAATATCAACTTCTGACAAATTTGTCGGTACGACTCCCAGAAAGATTGTCAGTATATCTGCTGATGAGTACTGTCATATAGTAGTATGTTTATGCACTTGCATGTATCTGGTCAACCTCTAAAAGACAATCTGAAAGTATTGAGAAAATAATGCAAACTCTCTTGAATGGCATGATATCTCATCAACCAATGTAAAGTATTTCGAGTCAAAGAGTCAAACAAGGTGCACTAAAGTCCCCAGCTCGGCCACGAACGATCGTCAAACAAGTACTTGTCCATATTGAGAGATATTGCTCTGGAACAGCATTCAAAATCAGCCATTTTGAATACATGTATATATATAACATGATGTATAACAAATATATAAAATTTGAATATAATCAGTCAAAGCATTTAAGGTAGCGAGAGGGGAAAAACTAGAAAAAAAAACATTTTTCTAAAAATCCCGGATTATGCAATCTTATATTGTGTACTTTCTTTATATTTGGTCCGAATTTACAGTGCGCGATGCATTTATTGAGTAATTTCAATTTATTCCCGGAAACTGAAGACAAAGGATTTAATTTGCATACTGATTTGTTGACCATCCGGCTTTATTATATCCTGTGTGATCTATAAGTAGTATCTGTTACGCGATCATCGCGATCGAAGCACAAACAAACATTACACAATAGTATTTCAAGCTTTTCTTGGTGTTTTAATAACCTAATATATCATGGGAAGGAGTTCTAAGATGAAAAAAAAATGGCCGCCGAAAAATGTCCGACGCCGTTAAGAGATATCTAAATGTAAGTGACCTGGGCTCACATTATAGTCAGCCCGCAGAGTGGAATAATAGTGGAGTTATCGCATCGTGTATTGTGTCATGTCATGTCCATGATGCACCCCGTTTCGACTTTGGCTTGCTTTTCCTTCTTAGTGCATGTTCTTGTTCACGTAAAATGCGACCTCTCAACAATGTATTAAAACACTTTGAATTTATACTTTGAATGATTATATTTGCGAATAATTATATACGCGAAACATTATTTTTTCTAAACATTTTCTGAGACCATTTTTATCAGTGCAGGGTTATTTTTTCAGACAAGATGGGCTTCGTAATATCTGCCATAACATCGCCCGGGCGATCTTTTGGTCCACATTTTTCTAAAAAAAAATAATCGAATCCTCCATAAGATCACCCGGGGCAGGGTATCGGCTGCATCCGGTAGTGCTGACTTAGAGCTAACTGATTATAACAAATCCGATAACGGTACACTCTCCATAGGCTGAGAGTAATGCAAACATATCTGTACTTGAAGGCATGTATATCCCGTAAGTAAATATATGCTGTCATGAATGCCTGTCCTATGTTTAGAGAACCGATTGTACTGTTGACGCTGTTCAACATAACAAAGGGACTTGAATAAATTAATTGCGTGGTACGCCATCTTGCTTAAGTTAGCACCCACTTTCGACGAAACTGCTAAGTTTTGTCACGTTTTAGGAAACAACCAACCAATTTTTCACGATCTAACATTCCACGCATATCAGATACTTGTATATTTACAAATTATGATCGAAATGGTAGACATTTTGTCATTAATTAGCTGTTTATCTGTGGCCAAATTCGAAAAAACGTTTTATTGAGTTTTTACGGAAACTAATTTTTGACTATCATAACTATTGAAGATGTCATCTTTCAACACTTTTCTCTATGCTAACGATGTACAAATTACACAATCTATTCGCCACAAAATGGGCTAAAATATGATGTCTTATAGACGTTTATGTGAGCCGTCGACGTTGAGTTACGGCCTTGGGAACAGAAAGACGTTCATAAAATTTAGTCCATAAAGTTCAACAGGCTCTATCTCCAGAACTATGGGGCACATAAAAATTTCGAGACGCATTCACAAAGATCATTATCTTATAAAGCAACAGTGAAAAGATCAGGAACATAGAAAAAAGGAACACCGAGAAACGGCCAATCCCGCAAAAAAACTCTCCGTTTAGGAGGTTAATGGGAACGATCGTAACTTAATCTCCTGAGCAAATATCAAGACGAAACATATATGATCGTATTCTGCTATATCTCAGCTTTCTGAAAGCATATACATTGCCATAACTGCATGCTTAGTAACTGGTGAGGAAAGTCCTAAACTCCATTAAACTATAAATTATGTTTCCCCTCTCGCTACCTTAAGAAATATGGCTCTAGAAGTCCAATCATTAAAACAAAATGACCACCAGTCAGCCATTTTGAATCCAATCTGAAAAATAAAATGATGTGCATCAGGAACCCGTAATATCTAATATATGTACCAAGTTTGAACAAAATCCATCCAGAAATGCTTGATATTTGATGATTTTTTAGCACAAAAATGGCCACTATTTGGCCATTTTGAAGAGGATCGTCAAACCAATATATCTGTCTATCTATGACATGATGTATAATGAATATATAAATTTGAACATAATCAGTGAAAGCAAGTCAGAGATAGGACACGAGAGCCACATTCATAGAAACAAAATGGCCGCCAGTCAGCCATTTTGAATCTTATCTGAAAAACAAAATTATTTGCATAATATCTAATGTATATACCAAGTTTGAACAAAATCCATTTGTAAACAGCCGAGAAATGCTTGATTTTGATGATTTTTAGCACAAAAATGGCCGCCATTCGGCCATCTTGAATCAGATCGTGCATATGTATAATATCATGTATGATGTATGTGTAAAGTTTGATTGTGATTGGGTCAGGCATTTCTAAGATACAGGTTCGGACGCACGCACGAACACATGGAGGTCAAAACATAAGTCCTCGTTTTTGGACTAAAACAGGGACTAAAAATAGAGAATTGAAGATATTGTGATGAAATGTTAAAAATCTGACAAAGGTCCACCCAAGGTATCTACATAACAAGTAACGAAGCAATTGAGCTGATAGTTTACAAGAAGAAGTTGAAAATAGAATTTTTTACCAAAAATTATAAAAATATTCGGCAAAAATGGAGAATTGGAGATATCTAAAAATATTAATGTTACATTATGAAGAGCATGCTTTGACAGCGATGGAAGCTAACTCTTAACACAGAAAAACCTAAAATAATGATTTTCAACAAAACTAATAGCCTGTTAAGGGACAACATATTTTTCTATGAGGGTAAAGAAATAAATATAGCCAGGCACTTTAATTATATGGGAATTACTCTAAGCATCAATGGCAAGTACAAGGAAGCAATGAAATCTTTAAAAAGACAAGCCATGCATGGCACATGTAGAAGATGTTCATCCGCAGTTTTTATGACTCATCCTAGCTGTGACATCCTAGTTGTTTTTTTGATGTTTTTTCAATAAAATAAAAGCCTAGTTACTGCAAAATAAACAAGTCATCTGAAGATGACACAGCCCCCACAAGTCAAATGTGATTATAGTTGGCTATGAATTATAAAGTTTGAATGTATATGTATAAAATCGGGTAGGAAGATAAAGTTGAAAATTAAAAGTATGTTACTCAAAGTTAACAGCTAGCGCACAACGTATACAATATGCTAATAACCATTAATCAGGTTATAATGTAGACATATCTCATGAATAATATTTCAAAGTGAAATTATTAATAGATAGCATTTAGTATGAAACGCCAGAATCATGTATATTCGGTCTTGACCCCTACGTTTTCTGTCATACTAAAGTGGTCACCAAATTTAACAACTTTGTTTTTCTTTTACAATACAATACAATATAAATGAGCTAGGGCAAGCCGCAATAGGTCTTGATTGTATACAGCACCACTAGTGGTTGTTCCCGGCTCCATGCATCCAGGCTTGATAAGCTCTAGATACATGCTAAATATTAATTAGACTACTAACAAATACTAATATTCTAACCCTGCATAAAACTATTTTAGCATTGTATTGTTTTAGACCAACAATACACATCAGTGTTGTATTAGTTATTATTATAACAGGATATATCGCAATACAAGATCTCAAGCAGAATTAATATATCTTGATTGGGATATTTTTTCTTTGAACGTCACTAAAGGATAAACCCTCGATCAGGATAAATATTCCGAACATGATAGAAAAAAATTCTTTCGATCAGGAAAAATATTTCTTAAAATCAGGAAGTAAAAAATTGGCCTGAACAACCTAAATTTGACCCCTGGCTTTTTTGTAGGTGGAAAGTATACATCAGGGTCTCCCCAATGCATTATAGAGTAGAGGTTCCCAACTGTTAAATTTTGGACAAACAATAGAACCAATTTAGCATAATAAAGAATACAATATAGGTCATTAACATATTATATTGTTATGCGAATTGGTTGATACTGCATCAGGGATTTTTTTAAACAAGGGAACAGGGGCGCAGCGCCCTCATGCGATGGCCATGCACCCCTTACTCTGGGGAGCAGATCTTCTGGCAACCATAAAATTCTGATTGACCAGGGATCACATGTGGCCACAGTCTTCAACTGTGACCTGTCTGATAGTAATTTTGGCCCCAAGGAAGCCATAGAATGCTCCATTTTAACTTAGAATTATCAAAAACAAGCCATTGAAAATGACACAGTCCCCATTAAGTTCTCTTTGTGCTCGTCATATTAAAGCGGAGGGGTTGTTGCGAGCATGTCCTTGAAACTTGAGTTCCAAGTGGCGTATACAACAGATTGTTTATTTACATCAAAACACGTGTTTCGTGTCATAGTAATATGGCCAAAATAAAAACAGTCGTTATTCAGCCATCTTTGATCTGATTATGAAACACACTGATATGTATGATGTGTGCCAAATACGAATGAAAATGGTACATAAATTGTGAAAATATAGTAGTAAGGCCAAAAAGTCAGATGGCTGTCAATCGGCCATCCTTGACCAGATTTTGAAAGGAATTGTCATGGACATGCATCCTAACATGTATAAAGTACATGTATGTGCCAAATTTGAATGAAAACTGACAGAGCACGTCCAAGATACTGCATAAAAAAACAAAAACAAGATGCCTGCCAGTCGACCATCTTTGATCCAATTGCAAAATAAATCGTCTTGGACATGTATCCTAACATGTATAATCTATGTACCATGTTTGAATGACAACTGACAAAGCATGTCCAAAATACAACATTTTCAGAAAACAAGTTGGCTGCCAGTCGGCCATTTTGAATTGAATCGCTAAACCACTGCATGTGCATATG